GTGCAGGAGCACCCGTGGCACGACGGGCACCTCGTGTTGCTGTCGCGCCCTCCAACCCGCAGCCCTCTGGGCTGCTGCTTTCACTCTCCCTTTACAGGAGACGTTTAGCAGCAAAGGGATTTAAGTGACTCAACGCAGCTGGCGCAGGAAATAGCATCTCTCCTCTCTTCCTTCCTCCGTGCGTCTCTGACCAGCAGGCAGAAATTCGACATGGTGTCGGTGGCGGGAACCCGGCAGGCTGCAGGCTCCCTGGGGCAGGGGGTGGCTGTCGCTGCAGGCACGGCGATGCTGCCCCTCCTCGCCGGCCCCAAATCCAACTGGCGCTGCCCCTTCCCGCGCTGCGAAGCCCGCTGGCACGGCGTTGTCCCGGGCAGAGGGCTCCCGACCCACTGCCTCCCCGCCGGCTCCCTTCTCGCCATCCCCTGCAGCAGATGCAGCCTCTCCAACTCGGCTATTTTTAGCTTTCATCCTTTTGCTTGTACCTGTGTAAGGCAATATCCTACCTCCGCTCCCCTCACCACTGCAAAAGGATGAAATCACATGGATTTGGCTGATGGAGTGCATCCGTCCATCCCCTGAACTGTGCAGAGGAGGGGAAGGGAGGGAGGCACCAGTATTACCAGCATCGGGGCTGAGCCCAGACTGGTTCTGTGCCCAATCCCAGCTGACTGCATGAGGCAAAGCAACAGCTACACTGACATGACCTTACTGGAATAAAATTATCCGTCTTCCCAAATCCACAACGGCTTCCTGCATGCACGTGCGCGCACACACACACACACACACACACAGAGGAAACAGCAGAGATTAAAAAGGAAAGTATCATTGCTTTCTGCCACTGAGTCCCTACCATACCAACGGTAATTTTTGAGTTTCCCAAATCCTTCACGACCTGTAAATTCAGCTTTAAACTCTGCTTCATGGGGAGCGCTTTGCCTGGAGTTTTCCTGCAGACCGTCTCCTCCCCAATGCACCCAGAGCGCTTGGGGTCGGGCTATGCGGCCATGGTGACAAATAAATACATAAAAATAGGTAGAATGGAAGTGGCACGGGAGAGCCATTTGGACCCAGGCGGCTCCTTTCGGTGGCCTTCCTCCATCACACAAGGATCCCTCCCAAAATCGGGAGCGGCGCCTGCACCCCTGCAGAAAGAACCTTCCTGGAGCGGCTCCGTCCCGCGGCAACACCGAGCAGACATCTCCGCTCTCCGGCCTCTGCTCTCTCAACGCGCTTGGGAAGACATTTGGGAAAATATTCATTTCCTGTCAATCTAAAGCAAAAAACTCTTTTTTCCCCCAATTGTTTGGAAATGGCAGCATATAAAAAAAATCCACACATAGTCAGCTGTATTTTCTTGAGCTTTGAAAAGTTTCCCTCTAAATACTTCAAACCTAATCTGGTGGAGGTGTGGGAGATGAAACTGGGGGTAAAAAAAAAAAAAAAAACAGGCCAAGACTGCAAAATAATTAAAAGAGCATTTAACCAAGATCATTATTTTCCACAATTTTTATTTGTATGCTGGATTGGATACAATGGTCTTGAATACTGTTCCACACTATTACTGTGCAATAAATTATTTGAGCAGAGCACAGCAAGGCATCATAATGTAATATATTTTTATAGTGCCATAAAGTAATTATGCACCAGACAACAAAATCCTACAGAAGTGACATATTTTATGCCTAAATTATAATTACATTAAAAGTGTCTCTTCCATTAGATGTTTATAGAGCGCACATGATTGGTGTTTGTGGGCCTGTGAGCGAAGATGATCTCACAGTGAAAGTAGGGCCAGGCTGAGGAGATGCAGTGAAGAAATATTCCCGGGGTTTTGACATTTTCAGAACGTTTTGGACAGTCTTGGCTACCTATCAGTAGGCAAGCTTAGAATAACATAACTGATTTCTATTGCTATCT